TAAAAGTTTATATGAGTTCAGCTTCAGTTGGTGATTAGATCACAGCATGTGTGTATCAGAATACTTTAACAAACATGATAATAAAAAATAAACCCCAATAAATTTGAATACTGTTCAACTATCGACTGGCCTTATTAGCTAAATGATAATAAGTGATCATTATGATTCCTTTCATCATTAAGTATGGAAGGAACAAGTTTACTTACAAAAATATGAACCATAATGTTGTTAGATCATGGTTACAAATAAATCAGTTCGGCTGTCGAAACTGAAGTAGTTCGGTCAGGTACTGAAACTACGAAACAACCGATCACGGTCGTGTTTAAACAAACAAGTTCACAAATAAATGCTTACTTTTCTCATTCTTTCAGTCAATCAATTCTAGATATAACACATTCCCTAATACGTTACCATTGATTCGTTAAATATTTTCGATATCTGTAGTATTCATCTTGACGAAAACCTAAGCCCCGAAGCAATAAGATAGAAAATTTTATTCTATTTAACTAAAATGGTTTGTATGTATATATATTGTCAAAACTATTAATTAAAAATAGATCTAATTATGTTCCAATAATTATATGATGGAAGAGGAATAACAGAGTTAATTATACATAAAACACATTTGTGAGTGCTTGTTCATAAATGGGTAGAGAAATGAATATACTTATTTTAGGAACAATTATGTACACGCCTTAAAGAGGAGAATCAGAATAAAAGTTTCAATTGATTTGAAAAGAAAAATGAAACAGGTTTGAAAATAACAAATTGACATTTGTTCACAGGTTGTTGTTGTAATGTGGTTAATATTATTTAGAAATTACTTAAAACCAAAAACAAGGTTGCACGAGCTAGTCGCTATCTGAACTCAGAAATTAAGTGAATAACATGATGGCGTTTAAAAGCGAATGGCACTGGGTTCGAGTTCCTGAGTTAACATGAGTTCTCAGATGCAGGTAGAACCAAACGCACATCCTAGATTCCAATGCTAGCCATCATCCATCTCTACTCATAATGTTTGTGACTTAAGACAATATCGAGGCAATTCGCACAAGTTGAACATATGCCAATGCGAGACTGATCAATTGCAGTCCTAAACATCAGTGGGAAGATTCAAACAACCAATACAAAAATGAACAAAATCTATATTATTTCTCAAATGATAGAAGAAAACTGATGAGTAATCGTTTAATGTAGACTTTTGTAGTACAGAAAAAATTAACTTTTTTTTGTTAATTGACATCGTTTAATCGAATTTTGATCCATTTCTAAAAAGATCTGAAGTGCAGTTATCCTTGCATAAAAAACGATTGACAGATTGTTATCATTAAAAATTGTAAATTGATAAAGCATTTGAATTTAAATTTTACGGATAAAGATCAACTATCAAAGATCATTCAGCCGGGACATATCTTGAAAATCTCTTGAACTCCTTAGGAAATATTAGTGAGGAATAAATTTAAATAAGATGGTGGTTGGAGATAGTCAACAGGAAACCCTGGACCTAGGTTTCGTGCTACTTGGCACTCGTCAGTAAGGTGTACCTGTAATCTCGAGGTAGCTGATGCTCCCTAACGGATCCGATCCCGTGTCACCCAGCTTCACCGTCAGAGACGTTAACAATGAGCTATCCGGGCCGCGACTGACCCCCTGTATGACTGCGATTTATTTACAATTGATTGATCACTGAGTGATGATCAATGTCATGGTCAGTAGAATTCGATCTGCACTAAGAAGGATCTGACATACATGAAATTGATCACCACCCAGTGATCAATTAATTGTAAAGAGGAATAAATTGATTATGAAAAACAACACGATTACATGCTTGTTACATCACTTAAGATTTTAAATAAGTGTTACGAACACTAATTATTATTATTATCAATTTTATAAGCGGCAACAGTTAGACGAGAAATTCAAACCTAACTACAGATACAGTTATTTTTAGGCTTGTAAATATTATCATTAGAGCATCTGTTATCTAGGAGGGGGGAGGTTGAATTTGAACTTTCTCGGAATATTATGACTCACATTTACAGCACTACAAATAGAGGTAATACTACTTACTTTTTTAAACAATATACAATTAAGATCTGTACAAAATTGAATCACCTAAGTGATAATCAATGTAATTGCTATAGTCATTTATGTTGATGAATTCACAACACCACGGTGTCATGATATTTGAAGTTAAGGAACCGTACTAGTTCTTTTATGTAATAAAATCTAGATCGATTATTCAAAAACGGTTAATGCTTGCACTATTTGACCTATAAGTATGAGGTAGACAGCATTAACGACTATTTATTTCGTAATGTGTAGTTTCGCAAAACAGCACATAAATTTACCGGTATTGTTATATTAAATAGATTGTATAAGAGATTAGAGTTCCTCTTTCTTTTAAGAAAATTCCTCGAGTAGGGATAGGGAAGAATAAAGATTGAGAGACTATTAGTTGTAAGTTGTAATAAGATAAAGTTACATTTAAATAATAAGGGATATATTTACATGATTAAAAATAAGAGCGATAAACACGTATGTGAAAATGAAGGACCAGAAACAAATTTTACAAACCAATACGTTTTTAAAATTGAATGATTGGAAGTCTGAGAAAACGCTTAGTTAAAAGTTACAGAAGACCAATTCACATTTCCTACATTTATAATTTAAACTTACTTGTAAAACTATGTAGTGAAACTTATTAAATCAAATACGGTAATCTGTATTAAGTTTTGAGGGATATTCAATAACATTAGTTGCAAATGATGTAACATTTTGGAAGTTGAATGATTTTGTCATACAATATTTGAAAGTACGAACACTGAACACTAGAAACATTTAAATAAGAAATTTATTACTATCTTCAATAGCATAATTGAGGCTTTTATTTATTTTCTTAAGTATCGAGTTCAGAAACAGAAATATTATAGCTTAAAAAATAAATAAATACACTTCATAAACACATAACAGTTAATTACAAACGTGTAATATTATAGTGTATGAAATAGCACGACCCTCATGTGAAATCGCAATTTTTTCCTTAATGAGATACTTTTTAACATAGTGATCAAGATAAATGAACTATTTTAAATGTTCATTATATGATTATGAAATAATGATTGGAAAAAACACAATAAACTCAACAACTTTTGTACGACAGTTTGTGGAGAATTGATAACATGTTACAGTATATCGAACAAATTCAACAGAACATCACGCGGATGGCGTAACTGAGAGTGAATGCATACTTTCGTTAGTTATACTATGCATGCTTAACATTTAAATACAGAATTTTACATTGATGAACAGGTACATATTTTGGATTTATTGGGTTTTTTAGATAGAATAATAGTGTATGTGTAATAACAGTGCTAGTAATGTAAAAAGGTTTTCTTAAACTAATAAGAATTATTAATCAATAATAAGTTATGTGTAGCCTAGCAATTTCATGAGAGTCCACGTTATGTGGCGAATTTCTTGATAGTTTACTGTAGCAACCATTCTGATCTCAGAGATAAGTGAATCAATAAAAGAAAATTGATCTACAAGTTATGTGAGTTTATGAATAGTTTTACTCTGAAATGATCAGATTAAGTGTTGCAATATATGATTGTTTAGAGTTAAAATTGTTTACTTTTGACAACTATGGGGGCAATTCTATTGAGTTCAAACTTTTTTTATGTTTTAATCTTTATCTAAAGATCTTTGGATTGATCTTGATTATCTGAAAGACACTGTGACATTAATTTTCACCAATGTAAAGATGTAGGGTCTTTTTGATACCATAAGCTGAAGCCTAAAAGTCCTTAGTGTTTTTTTGCATGATAATACTTCCAGACTAGCTTGCTTAAGAATATAAGTGAATGTGCAGACCACGTAAGTTTTTTATGAAGTTATAGAGCAGATGATAACTTGACCGCTAATTAATGCTCAGGAGGGATACAGAAATTATATTAGCACTTGTCAGAAACCTATTTCACTTACGGACCCTAAGAATGATGAAGTTTTCTACTAAGGAGAAAGTGTACTATAGAATTGCTGTTAAAGTTGGAGGTTATGGGTAGATAGTGTATGTTCCCCCTACACAGTATTATTAAAAGATGTTAAACTAACTAAACAATTAATATCGGGGTTAGAAGGAAGGTTTTGCGTAAGGAGAGTGAGTTAGCCAATATGGTTATGAAATTATACCAACTAAGGTGAATAATGTGAAGCTACCTATGTATAATCGACAACTATGAGGACATATTCTGCTATCAGAAGTACATTTTGACTGGAAAAAATTTAAATACGGAATATAATAATCAAGCAAGCTAATGGTTCAAATCCTGTTGTAATCTCAATTGTCCTGCGACTTCAATCATTGAACCAATGTAAATATGTTTTAAAAAAATAAATATGATATTTATACCTCATACATTTAGGATCTAATGATATATGAATATAAATATTTTACGTCATGTGTAGTAGCAACGGGAAATGTTTAATGAATCTCACTAAGCTCGTTTCACTTCCTTTAAAATAAACTATAAATTTTTAGATCAAGGAGCTGTGTCTGAATCAAAACAGTAATTTAAAGTGTTTTCTTAAATTGGAATTTAGGTATTGTATTAAGAAATGTAATGAAAACATTATTAGTTTTCCATAGTATACTGAAGAATACATGCATTTCAAAAGAATGTATTACAGAACACTTAAGTGAAATCACAATTAAAAAAAGGAATACGAAATGCATCTACGTTCAATTAGGAATTATTATGGTTGACTTAGGTGATCTACAAACAGAAATTGCACCAATGCACAGCAGATACTACTGATCAATATATGAGTAGTTAGAAAACATTCCCATCAATCCTTACTGCATTAATTGAGACACACGTTGGTTGACATGATTAAAAAAAGTAGACGGTTGTTCCGATCAATCTAGACGAACCTCATCGATATATGATACTATCAACCAAATAATAATATCGATTGAGATGAGTTGAAACACTTACAATGTAATTTCCGAAACCAGTAGATCTGATGACTGATAAGGATTTGACATCATTCTGAGCATTAATATTAGTGTTAGTTGCGGAAATTGAATCGATGTTAATGGAATTATCACGATTTAATTCATTACCAGTTACTCCAGATAAAGAATTAAGATATTCCTCTGATTTACGACCACCTACAATATAATGAAATATGAAAAAATCTATTATAATGAAGAAACAGTAGTAACAGTCATAAAAATAAAAATGACATAAAAGTGGTTATCAATGACGAGGACAAATTTTTTCAATTACTCTTAAATAATAATTTGAAATACATGCTAGTTGACAAACTCAGATATTTCTGTAAAGACAACGACAAAAATTGAAAAATAAAACGAACTAAGGAATAAGTAAATATACGACATGTTAATTTAGTATTGACAGAGATTCACACAATAATCAATTAATGTTGATTATCCATTGATCGAAATAAATAAGTATAAATTAGAAATTCCTAATGATAGAGTGATTAGAACGGAAGAAGCATGATACATAATGTTGTTAATTAGTCCTGATTGAGTAGATGGTTTAGATAATCCAGATAGAAATGATGGTGAACTCTTATCACTGTTGTAGTATATATATTAATTAATTAATATGTACATAGTGATCTTTATAAACATTATTAAATTATTGATGATATATTTTAATATTGTCTACAGAAAAGTCTTGTACTAATGTAATTGTACAGTATGAACTTGTATCAGGTCATTGTGCATAGTGTCATATTTCAATACAAAGTTCAACAAAACAAAAAAAATGAACTTTAGAAAGTGAAAAAAATATGTAAACGTAGTCCAGTAGTTAAGTAGAAGTTAATGGCATTTAACTTTGAAAAACAATTTTGAAAAAGAGGTAATAATACTATTTGGATCCTCTTATTGATAAGAAGTAGGATTGAAAGTTGGGTTTTTTAACCACAGTCCCTCATGAGTTACGATAATGGAGAACAGTCGTGTAACACTTCTAAATAACTTTCATTTGAGATATCATCATAATACACACTGAATCTGAAAAATTGATTCGGATTTCATGTATTGAGATTTCATAATGAGATAAAGATACTCAATTGTGGTTGTTCTCGGATGAGAAGATAAAGTTCACCTCGAAACATATTAATTAAATTCAGTGAATTATGTCAAGTCATACAACGTACCAACGCTATTTAGATTGGAAACTAAATATGAGAGCAAAGTGCATCAAATATAGGTATACTTTCCTTAGCCACAGATTACCATCTATATGTATGCTACATAGAATGTTTGATATCCATGAGCTGTTGATTTTATCATCCAAAAAATAAGGCTTTCTATGCATTCTACCTTTTTCTCAATTTATCTGATCTGGCCAAGCGTTATAGTGGAAATCATGTTTAAAAATGCGTATGACCGATAAGTTGCTATAATAGACGGTCTACACCAAACTAAAGTTAGACTAGTAACATATTGGATGATATGAATGTTGTTTGTTAGACATATCAAAACATACAACACGAAAGATACTAGTGAAGTGTTAACAAAGATAAAAACTGATGCTTTCAAATCTTATATTGAAAATACGAAAAATAGGTAGAAATAAGTGTATTGGTCTGGTAAAAAATTACTTAGTTGTTACCCACTGAATAATGCTTATGTATCCCGTTAGCAAGAACTGCCTCAATAGGACAGAAACAACATATAACGCAAATAACTTAGTTTTGGGTGAATTTAAACTTAGTTGTCGTTCTTATATTTAACAGAGACAGTCATAGTCAAATGTAATTTGATAAATAACACAAGAATTTGTGTTCACTAGTGTTTAGCCTCGACATACATTCTCAGTGAATAGTAAAATCCAATCACTTAAAAAGTAAAACAGTCACTACCGATGGGGTTCAATGATTAACACGCTATACTGCAAAGTAGGCGAGAATAGATATGTGGACTATTGGATTCTAACCCAGAGTTCTACGGATATTGTGACTCCAGTAAGATAACCAAGTCCCGAGTTCCATCTCATTGAATCATAGGCGCGAACCATCGGAGCCCCAAAACAGGATGAAACAGCTATTCGGTACTCCATGGTTTTCAGTGGTTCTCCGGCTGATCAGTCCACATTTACTTTTACCCGTTTCTAGATAACGATACGAATTTCAGTAATTGTTCAAGTATGTACATGTAAATATTACTTTATTAACATATTATCCTTCATATATAATTGCTTAGGCGGTGGAACATTGTATGATTATGTAGAAGAGAGATAATTAGTCACAACAAACAGATCATTGATCTAGTGCTTACAGTGAACAGACTACAGTAAACAGAATTAATGTTCAACAAATTGAGTCATCTTATGAAGCAAAATTATACGCTTGTGTACAAAACACTACACGCAAAAATAAACCTGATTGAAACTTGCTTAAAGGGAAAAAGATTAAAGCATTTCAATTTTGTGGTTCATTTACCAATCGATAGATTCGAGGCTATGAGGCTCGTCATTCTATTCATATGCCGTGATAAAAAGATTATTGCTTGCTTTACTAACAAACTCCTGATACTCATTAGTACTAGAAGACTATAACCGTTTACCTGCTTTGGAAGTACATGTTTGTACTAGGTTAACATCTTTACAACTAATTTACTGAAGAAAGCGACAAGAGACTACAAAGCTTCTAATGTGACCCAGATTACGATCATTGGATGCATCTGGTGTAAAAATTAGTATTTATTGTTTTGTATTTGTCTGTATAACCTGAAAAAGAGCAAATGTGTATATATAAACACAAGTGACGGATACAATAAGTACTGACCAGTAAGTGCACAATGTACATACACACAAAATTTGTACACTTCAACACATATGCAAGTGTGGGTATATGTATAGAATATATGTGGAGTGGAAGCGTAGGAAAGATGCCAAAACTTGATTGCTATGTACAAAACCAGATGTGTACACTGTCTTATGTATGAAAAGCACCATGCGGTGTTCGAAATAATTTTTTCAAGATTTTATAGATTATTGAGGTGTCTTGGTGAACAATATCGAACAAGATGAACGATAGAAAATAAACAAGGACCAGTATGTACGATAGATATACAATCAGGGTGGTCATTTTTCTTACCACAATTGCATTTACACCCCAGAACTTTCGTACTATACGAACCATATATATTTGCTACTAGTTTCATTTCGGTAGTTTATCTACAGAATATCTCGCTACTTTTATATTAGTGTCCGTAATAGTAAGATGGTTTTGATAACGACAGTAAGTTGATTTATTTCATGAAACAAATAGTTAGAATTAAATAAACATGAAGCAAATACATATTACATTTACTGCCATGATTTTATTCAGGAATTAAGAATAGACACGTCATATCACATAAAGGTGATATTGTTTAGCTAGTCATACGGTTGTGAAAAATAACCTATGTATGATTTTATGCAGGTAGTATGAAAGCAGACTGATCAATTTAAAAAGCGTAAAACCTGACAGGATTTAAGTTGCCACTCTTTTTAACAACACATGTACGATTTTGTGGCTAACTTTCAACTATCGAGTTAAAGAATAAAATAATATTCCATTTACTTCAGTTTGGCTTATCAAATAGTATCTGTTATGATATAACAAGTTTAGTCCACAACTACTACACGAACGTAATTTGCTTATTAAAATGAATTAGTTGACGAATGGAAATTGTAAAACATCCAGTAGAATCATCTGCTAAAAAACGACATTCTTGTATTTAATACTTAACTCTCAGAATGCCTCTGGGTTTCTCTAACAGTAAGTTCAAACTTCACTACTTAGATTATTTAACCATTGAATGTTAAATATGATATTTTAGCTATGGTTATTTTATACCAAATGAGTAGACGTGAACGATTTTAATTCATGAATTAATTTTGTAGTCAAAAAGAACAGACATTCATAATAACGAGATATGATTTAGCAAAGATGTTGAATCTCTTATTTAGATTGAATAATGAATTGATCTTTTACAAAAGATACATCAAAGTTACTAGCTGCAAATTAGATTAATCAATTATGTGTATTATATATGAAAAGTGTCATTTGTATTTGCCGGAATAAAGTGCTGAAATATGATCGTCCATTCACCACTTTTTCTACAAGTATTGTGAAATAGAAAAGCAGTAAAATAAAAGCAGTCTTAAAGTGGTTAGGAATAAAAGATGAAATAAATAAATTTACCAACTGTTTTTCCGACATATAGGACTATATAAATGAAACTAGTATTTAATGAAGTACAGTCAGTCAGCTACAACGTAGGACCAGGCACATATGTGCATCGGTCCAGGTTGCCATACCGCATCAGCACAACAAGATGAACACCGGATTCATAGCAGTGGTTAGGTCAAAGGTGGTAATATATAAGAGAAAGATTGCATATAGAGATATAGTACAAGAAGAAAAAATTGGTTCGTAGAAAGAAAGGTATGAAGCAATTTTAATCGCTTAGTTTAAGGGAAGACAGGGAGTGTATACACCGACGCCATTGTGATCGATTCTGAGCCATGTCACCAAGAGTCTTCAACCATTGGTTACGATAGTGACGCAGACCCCAATCAAGTACTCTGCATCTACCAACATGGCTCAGACTACAAGTTAGTGACTTCAAGCACTGATGCCACGTTTTGGTTTGGTCGTCCCTAACTTCCAACCATCTCCAACACCGGTTACCATTGCACGTCGTGGTAATCGGTGTTCGGACATACGTAACACGTGGCCCAACCATCTCAGTCGATGAAGATTCACAACCTCATCAACTGATTTACCATCATTCCCTAATACCCTGCGTCTAACCTCACTATTACTTACCCGGTGATCCCAGCAGACGCCAGCAATATTTCTAAAGCATCTGTGGTCAAATACTAATAGCTTACGAGTGTCTTCTACTCTTAATGGCCATGTTTCGCTGCCGTAAATTAAAACAGAACGGACTGCCGCGCACTATACTCGTCCTTTTATTGATAGACGGATATCTCGCCTTCGCCACAGGTGACATAAGTTGGCAAAATCCAAGCGAGCTTTTCGAATCCATGCTGAGATTTCGTCCGATACCAGCCGATTAGGGCTGTTCAGACTTCCAAGATAAGCGAAGTTGTCGACACGTTCAACTACTTTACTCTTTAT